TCGATGTGTAGGCAGGAATCGAGATTGCCTTTCCACAGCTCACAGATGTTTTGGGATTAGATATTACATGGTGGCTTAATAAAAATTTCCTTTATAATAGTCTAATTGCAGTTTGTTCTGCTAGAATCCAAATCACTCTACAATACTCTTGACAAATATAAAAGTAGAAAACAAAAACCTGTTTAGCTTTCAAATGACCATCTTTAGCCAAATTGAAAAAAAGGAAAATAATTGAAAAATGGGAAATTAATATTCACTTTTTTTTTAAGTTTCAAGGGGTTTTTTTATTACAAAAGTTTATTTTTACATCATTTTGTACATTTTTTTCCATCTCAATTGTAATCCCCCCGGGTTTCCCATCACCAAGTCACCCATGTGCCATCACCATAATCCCGTGCATTTCCCTCCCCCCACCCCGTTTTTGATCCCATTCCCCACTCCACCCCCACAAAATGTCTCTGGTATATGGTTGTTCATTATTTTTGTTATTTTCCACCTGGTCCATTATACTCCTGCTATGAGTGAAACCATCCGGTATTTTTCTTTCTCTTTCTGGTTTATCTCACTAAGCATGATCTTTTCCAGTTCCATCCAAGTTGCTGCAAAAGACATGTGTTTCTCTTTTTTGGTTGCTGAGTAATATTCCATTGTATATATGTACCACATTTTTTTATCCAGTCATCTACTTTTGGGCATTTGGGCTGCTTCCATGCTTTTCCAATTGTAAATAAAGCAGCAATAAACATGGGGGTACAAGTATCTTTTTCAATCAGTGTTTTTGTGTCTTTTGGGTAGATACCTAGGAGTGGGATTGCTGGGTCGTAAGGAAGCTCCATGTTTAGCAGTTTGAGGAACCTCCAAACAGTTTTCCATAGTGGTTGTACTAGTTTGCATCCCACCAGCAGTGCAGGAGAGTTCCTTTTTCTCCACATCCTCGCCAACATTTGTTGTTGCTAGTTTTTTGAAGATGTGCCATTCTCACTGGGGTGAGGTGGTATCTCATTGTGGTTTTAATTTGCATCTCCCTTATTACGAGTGATGTTGAACATTTTTTCATATGCCTGTTGGCCATCTGCATTTCCTCTTTGGAGAAGTGTCTTTTTAGCTCTACTGCCCATTTTTTGATGGGGTTGTTTACTTCATTTTTGTTGAGTTTCATCAGTTCTCCATATATTTTTGTGATCAGTCCTTTATCGCTACTTTTGTGTGAGAAAATGTTTTCCCAATTAGTGATCTGTCTGTTTGTTTTTAGTAATGTCTCTTTTGCTGTACAGAAGCTCTTTAACTTGATGTAGTCCCATCTATTTATCTTTGCCTTCACTATTGTGGTGTTGGGTGCTCTATCTTTAAAGATGTCACTGAAGTGTATGTCGTGTAGTGTTTGACCCATCTTTGCTTCTAGGTATTTTATGGTTTCTGTTCTTGTGTCAATATTCACTTTTAAAAGAAGCTTCTCCTCTGTATTTCTGCTTTAGAGAAAAGTGATTTTGAGGGTCAGAGTTCTTGGGAATACACAAGAGAGGAAATCCCAAGAGGTCCTAAAGACCATTGCTACAGTGGTTCAAATAATTGCTTGTGGCAGTAGGAGGGAGCAATACTGTAGAACAAAGCTGGGCAAGTAGCTTGTTGGATGTTTGGATTTTTTTTTTTTTGGATGAAGTTTTATTGACCCACAGCCACACCCATTCACTTACATATCTATATAATGTTTATGGCAAAGTTTGTGCTAAAACAGCTGAGTTTGGTAATTTTGGTAAACATAGCCCGCTAAGAACCAAACATTGGGAACTCCCTGATGGCGCAGCGGGTTAAAGCACAGCACAAAGAGGCTTCAGCCACTTCTGCATGAGTTCGATCCCCGCCTGCCCCGGAGGTGACCACATGGCGCGGCAGACCTCTCCTGACCTGCCCGCTGCTCCCCTCAGCAGTGTATTTCTCGATCTGCCTGTTTTGTACCCCACTCTGTCTCTGGTGAATCCTCTCACCCTCCACATCTCTGCCCTACACCCCAGTTCTGTACGAATAAATAAATAAATCTTTAAAAAAAAAACAAATATTTACTGTATGGCCCACTGCAGACCTTGTCCGCAGACCTCCAATAGTTCATCAGTCCAGAGATCTCCATTTAGATGTGTCACAGTCAAATCTGATTCAGCATGTGTAAAATGCATGCATCTCCATAAACCTGTCCAGACTTAGTGTTTCCACTTTCAGTTAATGGCACTGTTATTCACCATTGCACCCAAAAGATAAGCCTGCCTCCCCGTTACCTTCACAAATCATTTATTACTTCAAAACCCATCCATCAGCACATCCTGCCAATTTCATCTCCTCACAGTGTTTGCAGTCTGAGCACATGTCTCCATTTCCACTGCTATTACCTTAGTCCAAGCCTTATCACTTTGGACAAGATTGACAACTCTCTAACTGCTCATCCTGTCTCTAATTCCTCCCCCCTTTTGCCCCCAATCCACCTACTACTTAATAATCAGATATCTAATACTAATATCTAAATTTGATATGGGCATAACTATAATGATATATGCAAGTAAGACTTAATGTGCCCTTACAACATGTCAGGCATAGTTATAAGTGTTTCATATGTAGTAACTGATACTAAGCATCACTCCAACCCTATATAATAGATTCTGTTACCTCCATTCTTTATATGCAGACATTGAAGAACAAGGAGAACCATTACAGTCTAGCTCCAGACTCTATAATTTTAGCCAGTAATGCATTGCCTAGTGACATGTATACATTCTGAGAAATGTATCGTTAGCCAATTTCAATGTTGCATGAGCATCACAGAGTCAACCTACGAAAATCTAGATGGTGTAGCCTATTACACACCTAGACTACATGTGTGGCCTATTGGGACCTTCATATATATGTGTGAAGCAACACTGTATGTGCTTGGCTATACTACTCTACATACACACACACACACACACACACACACGTTGCTTGTAGATCCCCATTGCTCTTAAAATGAACCACCTTATTTATAATGTCCCAAAACTATCATTTTGATCTTCTGTAACCACTGATATCTGTCAAGCCTCATCTGTTGCCATTAGCAGTCTTGCAATGCAACCTGCCTCCATCTCACACTAAGCTAGTTTTCCACACAAGTCTTCATGTCTGTGCCTTTGCTTTGGCTGTTTGCTTCCTCTCCTGCTCCTAGCCCCCAACTACCCAACCACTACACATCCTTTAATGCTCCACTCAGTATCACCAGCTCCAGGAAGTCTTTACTGGATAGTTCACACGTGGCTTCCTTTGTGTTCCCATTATGCTTTGTTCATATCCATTCTAGAACTCTTACTATACTCTTTTACAGCTGTCTGTAATGTGAGCTCCAAATGTTTTCTCCCAGTACTTTGCATCCCAAAATCTTGATTTTCACTTCTTCTTTTCTGTGCTTTTTTTCTAGAACGCTTTAATCCCAGACTTGGACATAAATTATAATGCCAAGAAGTACAGAAAGGGAGTAGAGGATTTTGTCTTTTTGTCTGTGAATGAATGAAAGGGAGATGTGAGGGGACCATGGGAATCGAGTCCATCTTTGGAGAAAATGTGATCACATGATAAAAAGATTTAAGAGCTTACTTTCAGTAGTTTTGTAATAGCAAGTTGCTTTAGTGTAGGCTAAACCCTCAGCATATGGAATGGTTCAGATTCAATACATTTTCTCAGTCATATGACAGTCCAGTCCAAGATAGACAGTATTGATCAGGAGGACAGTTTCACCCCACAAGATCATTGAGGGGGTGTGGGCTGACAGAATACCCTACCTCATGCTGGGTCAAAACATCCCTGCCAACCAGGAGGAGGAAAGAATATGGAGGAGCACACATGGGAGCTCTCCATAGGGCAAACCCAGAAGTGGCACTTTCCATTATAGAGAGCTCCACCACGTGGCCATCCCTCACTGCAAGAGAAAATAGGAGAGTAGTCCTGATATGTGCATAAACAAGAGTGAGCTGCTTTACCTTGGGTTTTGGGCAAAAGATAGAAGAAAAATATTTCCTTTGTACTAGTAAGCTATATGATGCCGCTTGATTTAACCCCTTATCATGGGAAGCTGGAATAATCAAATAAAGGCAGTATATAAAGTCCTGGCTGGCAATGAAGCTCCCTGTTGGATTGCTTACCGGGATGTAGCAGCTGGAGGGTGATTTGAAATGCTGATACTTCCTTAACTATTAATCAATGGCACTTTGTAGACTGCCTTTAAGAAAAATTCCAACTGAGTTTGCTTACATTGTTGTTATACTGGCCCCCAAATATATTCCTACTTTACATGTCTAGACTAGAGAGAATGTTAAATAGATGACAGAGTAACAACCTCATTCACTGCTCATCAGCCAAGAGGTGCTCTACACCAAAAAGAAATAAAAAAAAAGGGAACTCGTTTCCAGTCCAAGCAACAGTCACAGGCGTGAGCTCATTCCCTGCTACTTTACATTTGCACAGAATATACACTTGTTGATAACCTCACACTGCCTAGGCAAATGAGTAAAAATGAATCAAATTGAAATGAAATATGCACATGATTCTCTGCTAAGACACATATAGTGTCCCAGAAGATTTTTGTAAAACCCAGGCCCCACTCCCCCACCCCCCACCTCCCAGAGAAGCAGTCTGTGGGGTAACCTGGAAATTTTGATTTTTAACTTTCCATGCATGATTTTCACATAGAGTCAGGTTTCAAGAGCCATTTCTCTAACATGATGGGAGAAGTAAGGAGACCTCGCAAAGCCAAACTGAATAGAATGGTTTTGCTTAATATATGAAACACATAAGAACCTGAGGAAGTTCTGGTCTCATAATGTGACATGTAGAGCTATCTCTGGAATTAGACCCATGCATGGAAACCTGGAAATCAGGCCTCTCCTGGAGATGGGCCATGTCCTGGCTATACACTAGAAGAGCTGTCAGGAGTGTAAACATCCCCAGAAACTGCAGGGATCTAACCGGTCCTCTTCTTTTCCCAGTTTGTTGCTCAGCCCAATTGCCAACAGTTACTGGCCACTCTGTGGTACGACGGTTTCCCTGGATGGCGGCGGAAACACTGGATAGTCAAGCTTCTGACCTGCATGACTATTGGGTTCCTGTTTCCCATGCTGTCTATTGCGTATTTGATCTCACCCAGGAGCAACCTTGGATTGTTCATCAAGAAACCCTTTATCAAGTTCATCTGCCACACAGCTTCCTATCTGACCTTCCTCTTCATGCTTCTCCTGGCTTCTCAGCACATTGTCAGGACAGACCTCCATGTTCAGGGGCCTCCCCCAACTGTCGTGGAATGGATGATACTGCCCTGGGTTCTCGGTGAGTCAAAGGAACTAGGAGCTATGCCAGACTAGCTAAAGAAATTACTGGAACAGGCAGTTGGCATATTCTGGCCCTAAATGGGTGTCACCTTTTCTCTGTGCAATGGCTTAGCCCTTTGTTGAGAGTCTCAGAAATGTGGTTCCTTCTTCCGGTTCCCTGGTCACTCAGTATTGCTTGGTCCACAGTGAGACTAGCAATGTACCAAAAGCTTCCTTATGCCAGGCCAGCATCTTCAAGACTGGGAAAGTTGTCTTTCAGTTGGTTTAGAAGAAAATTCCAATATCAGTTATGGCCCAGGTAAAAGAGATAGTGTATACACTGATCAGTCTATTCAATGCCCTTTTTTCCAAACTGGGGGTGGGAAGTGGTACTTTAAACTGCTGTTTTCTTGTGGCTACTCCACATTATCCCAATGCCTAATCAGGGTCCACATCCTATTTGGATATGATTCACACAACTCATGGTCAAAGCAGTTTTACCAGTAGTCTTTAGGCATAATTACATAGCATCGGACACTCCCACGCATTGCTATCCTCCAAGTTCTCGCTCCTCAAACACTGGTTCTCAAACCAGCTGTGTTAACATCTCCTGGTAGCTTATTAGACCTACAGAATCTCAAGACCCACCCTGGATCTACAGAATCAAAACCTGCGTTTCAACACAATCCCCAAAGCATTCACATGCATTTTACAGCCTGAGAAGAACTGCCTTAGGTCACAGCCACAACTTTTACTCTATTACACACTCCAAGGGTAAAGAACATCTATGCAACCTCCACACAATGATAGGACAAAGGAGAAAATGATTCTAAATTAGTTGGGAACCCACTGTCTTTACTCAGTCTCAGCATCTTGAAATTTGGTCCATGCTCAGCTTGCTCACCTCAAAACTCATTGAGAATTTTCCCCTCCAATAGATAGTGGAAACTAGTGATTATTGGATAATAATGGTCTAATTTATAAATGAAATTATACCTACATCAAAATGGGAAGCGACAGAGTTAGACACCAGAAATTGCAACAGCATTCTAGCAGCTAGAATAGCAATGCTAAAAGTAAATAGTATCCAGAAAAGTATAACATATGGGCCTCTGCAGAAAAACCTATCAAGTTTAACAAGTTCAAGACTGGGAGGTGAGGTAGGGAAGAAAGCAAAGAAGTACTTACTATCTCTAGGGGTGTCATGGTACTGACCCTACTTTATTCATTGATTTATTTCATCTTTCTTCACCTGGGGCAGATCCTATTATGATGGCTGTTCTGATCCTGTGTAGAAATAAACCTTGTGCCTCCATTCTTCAGGTTTCATTTGGGGGGAGATAAAGGAAATGTGGGATGGTGGATTTACTGAATATATCCATGACTGGTGGAACCTGATGGATTTTGCAATGAACTCACTATACCTGGCAACCATTTCCTTGAAGATTGTGGCCTATGTCAAGGTAACTTGGAATGCCTACCATTTTTTAAGCAATGATTTTGGTGACATTACTTTAGCACTGAGAACATGGAGAGTTTAGGGTGAAAGTGCTGATGACAGTCTAATTCATTCAGGAAAGAAATGTATAAATAGAAATTCTTTCAATGGTTTCTAAGCAGTGTCCACGTAAGCAAAAAAATAAAAACAAAGAAGTGAAGAATGGGGCAATTTGCAAATGAATCTTTACATTCATCAACTCTAAGTGTAAAAACGGATCTTCAGTCACCCACCCATCCAGTCAATGTTTAAATCCTTTCTACAATATTCTTGCCAAAATGGTCTACAGACACTTGTATAGAATAGGAACAGGAAATTCACTGAATTTGCTATCTCCAAAACCTCTCTCAGCCCTTGACACTTCATTTTAAAAAGCTCTGCTTTGTATTTTTCTAATAATATTCTCCCTGTGACATATCCATTAGTAATCTTTCTTCCCCGTGGGGTCAAATAGAAGATTGTTCCTTTTTCATAATGGTGCTTCCAATGAGAAGTTATCTCTTCCTAACCCACTGGGTTGTCTCTTCTCAAAAGCTAAATATTCACACGTTGCCCAAGTGTTCTTCATTTGGCAGGTAGCAGAACCCTAAACTCTGCAGGGGACATAGATTTTTCATCATGTCTGCCTCCCTCATCACTTCCTCCACCAGGATGATCATTCCAGCTTATGAATCCAGCCTTTTTGAGTATGTCTCTTTACCAATTCAGATAATATTTACAGACACACACACACACACACACACACACACACACACACACAGCCTTGGTGCTTTTCTCACACAATGTTCAACCTGAATTACCCTGAAAATTAGTTTTCACATTCAACATTCACATTGGGTATCTCAGGCTCCAAATTCAGGTTTGATACTCATTAGATAATGGAATGGCTGGGCTCCCCTGAATTGAACTTCCCTAGCATGATGAAAGGCTGACAATTCAGTCTTCAAAATCATCTAGTCAGTCATGCTTTCTGGCACTAAATCCCACATTAAGGAGTTTCAGAATGGAAATATGGCTGTCCCCCAAATACCCAGCTTCATTTATTTTTATATCTCTAATATGCATACTGCATAAATTTTAAGACCTTGGGAGTTAGTTATGTGGAACATGAATATTGAATGCAGTCATAAACCATTTTTGAAAGAAGCCTAGGAATATGCCTTATACTTGTGATCGCTTAACACATACTTACAACTTCCTTACAAGAAAAAGCTGGTGAGGAAAATGTTTGATTCTCTGGTTAATGTGCCTGGAAGAAATCCATGTCATTCTGGCACTCTGCTGACTAAGTAATACAGTCTGCCTAAAGAAAAATTCTTCCTTTAGAAGTGGTATTTATAAACTGGAGGAACAATAAATTATCAATTTAGAAATTGGTGGCTTTTGCTTGAGCAGGAAAGTTTACAAGAAATGATCAAGAAAAGGCTTAACTCTTAGGAATGTGAAAAATGTGTCTTTATATGCCCAGGAGTAGCTAGTCACATAACTTATCCAACTAAACTGTCAAGGCTTCTAAGGAGTTAAACACTTCCCCACCACAAAGTGCAAGGATAAACTGTTTCTGCTAAGCTGAGTAATGTGCCTCACTTAACTCAAAGGAGACCTTTCCCAAGAACTTGGAGGCCTTCTTGAAAAAGGAGAATTTACAAAGCAAGAACTACTTCTTATAAACTTTGGCTTTGCAATGAAAAATTGTACATGAGAAATTTGACCCACTCATCCACAGAGGCATACCAGACTGAGATGAATTTCTTCAAGTAGGCTGAGCCAAATTTCATGAGGTAAAGTCACAAGAGCTGATCCCCAGACCCTCTGAGACACTTTAGATCACTGTTACTGAGGCAGTACTGAAGCTTCCTGGGACAATCTGACTTTAAAGATCTCTTATCAGACCAAAAACTAACCAACAGTATAGACAATATCTCACATAATCCACAACCACAGGAAACAGAAGGCACACACAGAAATATTCAAAAGGAATAAGGACACATAAGATTGCTTCTCAATGCCCCTATATAACCCTAAAATTGTCCTTTTGTTTTCTAGGTTAGCACACTTTGACTTATCCCATCACTTCCCTATCACATGTATAAACTAAGTCTGAACTTTCAAGCTCACTGAATGGTGGTACTTTCTTCAGCCAATTCCCCACGCCCATCCTTACTTCTATTGAGTTCCTACATTAGCCTGTCCCTTTCCATGTTTGGCTTTTGAGTTGACAGAGTAAAATTTACAAAGACATGGAGGTCAATTTTCAAGCTGCATTCCATCTTAAAGAATATAAGAAAAGCGCTTGCCTCCCAATATCACTAACTCAAGAGGCAGGAAGCCTGAACTTAAATCTCTGCTCTGACACTCAGGAGCTGAATTACCACAGACAATCCTTATACATCTCTACACTTTAGATTCTGCCCCACATGACTGAAGATTGGACTAGCTTAGTGGATTTCAGCCTTATAATTTTTTTTCCCCATGGAACCACATCTTGCACTGAAATTTTATGCAGAATTTCAATATATTAATGAGCTCAAAGGATAGAATTTGGATCGAGGATGGGTCTTCCAGGCCTCCTCTGGCTCCCACAATGACCACCAGATGTCTCTACTAAACCCTGAATCTTCAAGCTATACAGTTTGAAAGCCACTTGTGTTGATCAGAGCTGCACGCTATGGTCTGCAGACTGAACGTGCCATATCCATTTGTTCACATATTGTCTGTCCTATGAAGAAAGTGCTGTGTAGTTGTGACAGGGACATTATAACCCATACAAACAAAAGCTATGTACTATCTGACCCTTGACAAAGTTTGGTGACCTCAATGTTAAGTGAATTCCAAATTAATTCTCTATTCTCATATTCCATAATATCTTTCTTCAAAGGTATAAATGTAAAACATAGATTTGCCAGGAAAATCATCTTTCACACTTCTGAGTATACAACAAATGAACACTCACCATTTCCTGGGCAACAGACTTCTCTGCAGTTACTGTTCTGCCTGTGAAGAGATAAAACCCTCAATTATGAGTTAGGCATCTTGCAGTTGACAATTTCTTGTTTTAAGACAAAGATATATTTTGTTATCTGCAAAGAATCTCTAGCTTTCACATATACCTATAAACTTTTAGAGGCTTATCTAACATATGTGCTGTGATATCAGCTAGAATGGAAAGAGTGCTAAACTGAGTGTTTGAGACCTGAGTTTTAGTCCTGGCTCTGTCTTCCTTTTGCTGTCTGACCTAAAGCAACCCACTGGCCTTTCCGGATTTTTGCTCTTCCACTTGTAAAACAGACATAACAATGTTCACGCCTCCTGGAGATACAACAAATGCTTTTTTTGGAAGGTAAAATGTGCATGTGACCAAGAGTATATTGAGTTGATTATTCATCTAAAGTTTATCTGAAACAACAAACATGGTGGCAAGATCTCGCCCAAACTCCTCTGACAGAGAAGAACATTGACTATATACACAAATGATTTTACCACCACCAGTTTCTCTAACTGTTGGAAGTAAAGCACACTTTTAAAATGCTAACAATATAATTTGGCCCCCAATGCTACATTTGCTCAGAAAAGTTGTTTACATTCAGCCCTGAGAAATTGTGATATTTAGATGAGAGCGCTAGGCAATATGCTTCAGATTGGATCCCAGGCAAAATCTACTTCTGTCTTGGGGAAGGTAAAAAGCAATTTCTTGTATTTCCCTAACATCTCCCCTTATGGAGTACACAGATTTTTGCATATGGCTACATAATAGCAAATGTGTGCAGTGGGTAGGCGTAGCTATTATTCACATTCAATGGTGAAATCGAGAGAAACAGTTTTATGGGACAAATCCCAAATTAAATCTCAAGACTCACAAGGAAACCATTTTCCTACAAGGATACCCCCAATGTTGCAGGAGCTGGAAGTACATAATAAGACTAAAAGTATGGGCAAACAACTCCAGAAATGCTGACTCTTCCCCTCCTTCAACCTTCATTTGTCCTGGAGGGACACACTAACTCGTAGGGCTGGAGAAGGAGCAAAAACGCGCGTGCATACAGCACAGTGTGCAGCCGCGCCAGATTCAGTAGCTGGCGCTTCAGCGTTCTATTTACAACACTGTGGGCTACATTATAAACTGCTAAAAATTCAGCAGGAAACACAGAGCAATGACCCTCTAAGGATGCTCTATCAGCCCCAAACTGCAGTCACCAGGGAAGTCAGGACGAACACAGCACACTGAGGAGACTGACTCTTCCCCCTTGTTTTGATAACGGCATATTGACCCTGGTGCTCAGGACAGAAAGTGGAACTGAAGAGCAGAGATTTGAATGGAAATCTCACTGGGAAGCAGACCAAAGTGTCCCAGAAGCTTGGGTCACCAATGACTCTGCTCCAAGAGTTGGTAAACTCCAAATTACAAAATATCTGTTGAGAAGCCACAGGGGGCTGCTCCAGATGATGTCTCCAAAATTCAGTCTGCACATTTATTTGGGTGGAAGTGGGAGGAAGAGCGATATTAGCACTGTGTGTCAATTGAGTGGGGAAAAGAGGAGAAGCAAATCGTACCACGCATGGGGACCGTGGTATGAAAGTTTGATGCATATTTTGGTTGCTTTACTTGAATGTGGAAGGGACGGAGGAGGGAAGGGAACATTTTCAACATGCTCACTGTACCTTCATGTTGTGCACTTGTTTCTTTCAGTATAATGGTTCTCGGCCAAGAGAAGAATGGGAAATGTGGCACCCAACTCTGATTGCAGAAGCACTGTTTGCCATATCCAACATTTTAAGTTCCCTGCGTCTCATATCCCTGTTCACAGCCAACTCCCACTTAGGGCCTCTGCAGATATCTTTGGGGCGCATGCTGCTCGATATCCTCAAATTCCTTTTTATCTACTGCCTGGTACTGCTGGCTTTTGCCAATGGGTTGAACCAGCTTTACTTTTATTACGAGACCAGAGCAATCGATGAGCCCAACAACTGCAAGGGGATCCGATGTGAGAAACAGAACAATGCCTTCTCCACGTAAGACTGCCGCTCTCCTCTCTTGCTTGTTTTATGCTTTGTCCTTCATTTCTCTACTTTCAGTTCACAGTTTTGTCACCGTCTCTTGACAGTGCATACAAGGCTCAATATGAATCTACCCACAGGGTCTGAAGTGGATAAATTCATCCTCACCGAAGTGAGAGAGGAAGTATTGTTAGGGCTCTGAGCGTGTGCATAGAAGACACAAGCACACAAGGTCTCCAGGAACTTATCTAAAAAGTTAGTCCTGAATGCTTTTGCTAGCATCTCATATGTTTTAAGGAATTAATGGAAGGGAATAAGTAACTCCTCACTCAAGAAGGCATCACTCGCCAAGGAAAAGACACAGCAAAGCTATTATTCTGTGGATGAGGACTACCAAAGCTGACTTAACTATTCTGAATCAAGAACAAAATAAATAAATAAATAAATAAGGAAGGCAGGATACAAAATATCTTAATGTACCCTGCGATATGATTTAGAATAAGAAATATATATGTATTTAATCTTCATTCCCCTTTCTGGCACAGAGCTCCTGAAAGACTCTTAGCTTTTCCTGTGATGGGAGCAATAAAGGCATCTTTTGTTATAATTATGAGGTGACTTTTGGAGCCTACCTAAGAATGGGAGCTTGTTGTCAACAGAACCAGCCATGTGATTATAGAGTAGAAACTCTCAGTCCCACTCACCCCCCACCTCATAGAAAAGGAGGGGGGCTAGAGATTGCCTTCAATCACCAGTGGCCAATGATTACATCAGTTATACCTATTCCATGAAGACTCCATACCAACCTAAAAGAACAGGGATGAATTTGGAAAGCTTGCAGGCTGGGTGCCTGAAAAGGGCACAGATGCTCTGAGTTCTTGCTCCATACTTTACCCTGGCGCCTGGGCAACTAGCTATTCTTTTTTCCCCTTATTTTCTCTTCATCTGGCTGTGCCCTTATTTTTATTTTTTATCTGTTATTTTGTAATAAGTTGGTAATCTAGTGTGTAAAATCTTCCTCTGAGTTTTGTGAACCAGTCCAGCAAATTAATCAGTCTCAAGGTGGAGATGTTGGAATCGCCAATGGATAGCTGGTCTATCAGAAGCACAGGAAACAACCTGGACTTGAAATAGTTGTCTGAGGTGGGGAAAGAGTCCTTCACAGGTGGAATTGATGCTACCTCCAGGTACATAGTGTCAGAATTGAGCTGAATTGTATGACTCCCAGCTGGTTCAGATTACTGGTGGTGAGGGGGGAAATGTCCCCATATTTACCTATTGCAATTGCGTTCAAACCTTGAGTTAGTGTCAGAGAAATGGGATTTGCTAGAAAGATTCTGGCCCATGGAGTCATGTGGTTGGGAAAATAAAGGATTGAAGGGTAGACGGAGGCAAACTTTTGATCTGTGCAAGCCTATATACATCATCACCTATGAAATGAAAGTACAGCTGCACTGTAATCAGTTATATGCAAGGTAAATGTTACCAGTGTAATTTAGAAATGGCTGTAAACCTGACATCAACAGAATGGACTCTCTGGATACACAAGGAAATGCAGAAAAATAAGAAGCAGCTAGGCATACATTCTGTTGGTTATTGCTATCATAATAATAAAGATCAAAAGTGAAGAAAAGGGATAGGTTGAGCCTTGATGCTAATCTGTCTTGAGATGTGAAGCCAAGTTCAGGCTCAGTTTGGCTTGAGCCAAAGCCATTAGCCTCAAGGCTTACCCTCAAGTTAAAAATGATGGGGGCAACCGAACATGCCACAAAGACCTTTGGTCAGCAGAAAGGCAGTCGGTGGGCAAAATCAAGGAAGTACTGAAACTAGGGAGTGAAAGAGCTGTTTCATTTTGTGAATCACCATCATAAGCTTCTTGCATAACATTTACTAAAATGGATTGTGAGAGTAACTGATTTGTGGACTCAGTCTCTGACTTTGAATGCTGCAGCATGGAAGAGCATGCACACTGTGGAACAATTCGAGATAGCTGTCTGTGACCCAGATACACAGAAGGTTATTCCTAAGGGAACAGCCAGCCTGGTGGACTGGTTACAAGTCACTGTAAGAGCTGTTTATTCTGAAAAAGGGGGCTGTCCATACCCTGTGAATGCCAAGCAAAACACTCTATATACTGCTGCTGATATACTTCCTATACGAGCCATGTGGCTCTGGCTTTATGACGAGTGGGAGATCCATCCACTGAATACCCCTGTTTTCCAGGTCATGGTAAATTCTGTAGCTAAGGGGCTCCTTTCACATGATGCCTCATGTAACCTTATTGTTGCAAAACCAAGGGACAGTTGCAGAAGCTTTATTGAATTTGCTGTCTCAGCTTCCTCTCATGAGTGTTAGAAATGCTAACAAAACATTAGGTTAATTAACAAGAAAACGGGAAAAGGCCTAGTGAGAGTAAAGGGATTCTTCCCAACAAGGTAGAAATCTTTAAATGGTTAATTAAGAAATAAGGTGAATAAAGCAAGTATTGACAGGAGCAAAGGAAAGAAAACAGGAAGGGACAATCACAGAACTCCTCCCAGCAGGATGGACATACTTAGATGGTTATTATGAAATGGAATGAATAAAATGTACTGACGGGATTGAAACAAAAGTTTTAGTTCAGCACTACTGAAGGTTGAGTGGACTAAAGGACGTCCTTCTCTACCCCCGATATTAAAGGGTTCCAAAGAAGTCTACATAATTTACCTCAGTTTGGGGAAATTTTTAATAGGCCGAGGCCCAAGAATTACAATGAAATATCTGACCAGCAACCACTTGGAGAAACTGGTAAGCAGATTATTAAAACTAACAAAGGACATTTTGTCAAAAGGGCCAGGGTCCCTTTGTTTGGCACCTAGCTAGGGACCCAAAACCTTTTGCATGGGAGTGGGCGAAGTGGTTCAGAGATGGAGAAGTTTCCACCACTCAGGAGTACAGGAGTTCCATGAGCGATGGCACCAAACCCACTGGTCAAGGCCTGCCTCAGGCTATAGTTACACTGGGAGAATATAAAAACATAATGGCCCATAAGGTTATGAAAGTTAGAATGTTTGAGTAGGTTAATGCCGGAAGTTGTGTCTCCTCTATCTGATTGCTTTATGAGAGTGGATGTTATATGATAGTGAGGAATCCCTTCCCTACCTATTATTGTGAAACTAAATCCTGTTTATAAAGTCCTAATATGGAATCGATGGTTAAGATCTGATGGAATTAAGGTTAAAAAAAAAAAAACTTGTTGGAGATGTGGCATATGTGAACAAGTTATAGTAAAGCAGCTTCACCTCTTTTACCTGACTATATTTTGGGGATGCATATTGTATTTGACTGGGGAGCACTTTCCCTTAGTTGGTATTGCAAAATAAAGGGAATGTAAATCCATCTTTCAAGCAATGTTAATTGGACTTGCTTAATGGAAGCCAGTAAGACAGTCTCTGCACACAGCGTGGAATAGAAGCTAGGGTGCTTATAGGGACACACTCCCTGCGCCCTGGCCCACTCTGGAGCCTCGAGTGGGGTTGGGGGAAATATCTGTGTCTAGTATGGAGGGCTGTACCACCTTCGACAATCTGAAGGTGTGATTAGAGTTAGATCACCTATTGGAATTAATTTAAGGTTTCAGGTGAATCAAATGGTACCAAGTATAGATTAGAAATGTCCCCATTAGCACTTAGGTCACAGAAGACAGCTCATGACTCCATCCATGCGGCCACTGCCTCCAGACACGTGGAATTCCTACGCTTTTTCTTTATAAATTCAACACCTATTTCTTTAGGTCCATCAAGCCCCCCATCAAGCTTTTATTTTTTGACAATGCACTGTCAGGGGAAATATACAAGAGAAAGAAATAGGAAATTATTTAGGCTACAGGAGCTCTCCTGATCTTACCCTGGACTCAGTACCTTGTCCATCACTACCCCTAATTCACAGCTATGACCCCAAGGTTATGAAACCCCTGTCATGAAACTCCTAGTCATTAAACTAAGATACAGTTTCCCCCTTAGCTGAAAAGTAGGCAGTTCAGTAGACTTAGGCAGTTGAGAAACAAAGGCTGGGAGGGGGGGTGGATGGGACATTTCTGATTGGCCCCAAGTCTCACCTTTAGAGAGGGGTGAAAAGAAGTGCTGTCTTGCCTACTGCTTGCTATTATCTGCCTCTAGCAGCATATCCTAAACTGGGTTGCAAATAAGCATAGTTCAGGGGGACGTTACTAAAAATGAACACAAGATCTATAACAAAATGAGTTTTGGAAGTGCTAGCATACATTTCAAGTGATTTCCTCACTTCAGAACTTCTCAGAGACTTTGCAATGCAGGAGGAGGCTTTCCCAAGTATACTGGCCAAGACGAAATTCTAGTGAACAGAGTTTTAACATGGTGGCTCACTCTGTTGCCCACTTCGCAGTACCCACCCCCTCTGATAGGTCACACCCCTTGGTGTTCTTCCCAAAATGCAGGCCAAAACCTTGGATGGGGAAACCAGATTCATATCAACGTCTGGTTTGATATAGACTTACAGGTTAAAAAATGACCAAAACAGATTGACAAAGAAATAGTGCTCTCTTGGTTTTCAACCAGGACTATGTAATGGCAACTGGTCACCTCGCTCTAGTGCCTCGTGACTGGGAACTAACTCCTTTCCTGCATTACTCTAGAGACAGAACTCCCGTCAACCTGTTTTCAAAAGAAAGAGCAATTTTGTAGTGGCGCGAGCGCCAGGAGACTGCATTTGTTCTCATAAAGCATTCAACAGAATTGAACACCTGAATGCAAGTGGCCTTCCAGGAGGCCAGGTCCCTGCCAATTACCCTTTCATGTGAACTCTGCTGAGGAAGTTTATGAAATGCCTCCTTGCGAGTCTGTAGTGATTATTAACATCCCTGTTGCCAACTGACATTTCTCTACCATCACTTGCCCAGCAGGAACAATTGACAAGAATGGGCACCTGTCATATATAAAATTATATTTTGGGGTGTTAGGTATGAAGAAGCATCCTCATGCTGGGGCCAAATAAGCTGT